CCCCAAAACCCCAAAACCCCAAAACCCCAAAACCCCAAAACCCCAAAACCCCTAGCTTAATATAAGGATTTGAATAATTCTTAAGTATTGATTAGTACTTGACTGGAGAATGAGGAGTTATCTCATCAATAAATTCGCTGAAAAGTACTGATCCTTTCTTTGACTTATCGAATCTATCCATCAGAGATACAAGCTCTTTCCCAGTGGCGAAGAATCTGTGCCTTGCGAGCAAGTCTTGGAAATCATGTTCAGTGATAGTGAGAGTTCCGAATCTGTTGATGGCATCGAAAGCATCGCTTCTGTTAAAGAGCGGTCTTTTAGAATGCTTTTGTCTGATATGTTCAGCTAAGTTCTCTGCTTCAAGAGCAAGGTTCAATACTCTCACGAAGTCCTCTCTGGTGACAGGGTCAATAATTTCTGGTGCGAGGTAATACCCTGTAGGGAATCTAATATTTCTTTCATGTAATGCATCTGCTGAAATTCTATCAGTAGGGAAGAAAATTTCTGAAAATTCTTTGAATCTTAGCAACTGATCTTTGTTCTGGTCATACCTAGACACAATCAATCTTGCTTCATCCAAAGTAATAGTGATGCCGTATTTTCCATAAGCGTCTTTGACATCAAGAGGCTCAACTTTTCCATATCCTGAGCAATCAAAAATCTTGAAAGCATCATGAACTGTGAAATATGGTCTCTGAGCTAATGCTTCTTTAGCTGATTCTAGCCTTGCCTCAACTTTGATCAGTTGAATAAATGACTGCACTAGTTCTTCCTCCTCGAAGCCTTTGAGAGGGCTTGAGCTTCTCGTTGGACTATGATAATCCCTAGTGACATGGACTCTTGATGGAGAATGTCTAATAGTATCTTGAACATGAACTCTAGATGGAGAATAATACTTCCTTTCCTCAATATATCTACTCGTTGGAGAATAATGTCTTGTCTCATGAATACTTACTCTCGAAGGAGAGTAATGTCTAGTCTCTGTAGTATAAACTCTTGATGGAGAGTAACGGTTGGTAGTCTCTACTTGAACTCTTCCTGGAGAACTGGTCACTCTAGTCACTCTTTCTGGAGAACTAGAGACTCTAGTTACTTTTGGAGGAGAGACTTTGGATGAAGAATAATTGTATCTTGTCTCAACTCTTGCTGGGCCTCTTGAGTAATGCTCTGTTCTGATTTGTCTCTCATTATCATTGTTAATTACTGTAGTAGTTTTCTTGACTGGAGAATCCCTTCCTAAATTATATCTGATAGGGGAATGTCTGGTTGGGGATCTTCTCACTTCAGCAGTAGCTCTTGGGGATTCTCTTATGCGAGTTCTCACTTCTCTGTATGGAGAATGATTAATATGAGTTCTAGAAGGAGAATGGCGAATGCAAGTTCTTGAAGGAGAATGGTTGATATAACTTCTTGAAGGAGAATGATGAATATGCGTTCTAGTAGGAGAGTAATGATGAGTTTCTACCCTTCCTGGACTTCTGCTAACTGAAGTCACTCTTGCAGGACTCCTAGTAGTAGTTGTGACCCTTCCTGGACTTCTCTCTATTGTTGTGACTATTGGATTTGCCCCAATTCTTGATGGAGAATGATAAGTTCTAGTTACATGGGTTCCTCTTAATGGGGAAGCTCCTCTATAACTTTGGTGGTGTATAGTTTGAGTAGTTTCTGGAACACTTGGTTCAATACCTTGGACAACTTCAAGAAATTCTAGATAAGAAATAGATTCATCTCCATCTGTGTCTCATCTTCTAATGACAGCATCGAGCTCTTCTTCACTTAAATATCTAATGTGATCATCGACAAATTGCCTCACATCATGTCTATCGATACCTCCTAACGGTTTTGTAATGTCCATCCAACCAAAAGCATGCTTGGTAGTGAAGTCAACTCTCGAATTAAGTTCATGCTTGATTATTCCTGTAGCTTTTTGGAACTCGAGCTCTGCTGCCAAAAGGTCAGCCAACAATGCACAAACATCAGGTGGCAGAATTTGGCTGATAGCCTTGGTTGCAGAATAATCTCTAGATGCAGCCTCCTGTCTGAGCGCCTCATTTGTTGCTGGGAGCACAAACTGAGTGAACTCTGTGAAGGATAGCTTTCCATTACTATTCTCATCATATTGAGCAATCAATAGAGAAGCATCTCCATAATTTCAAGGAATACCGTTATCTAAGCAAAAATGGAAAATATCAGCATCTCTGAGTTGGCCATGCCTTTCTCTGTCAAGAATCGTGAAAACATTGAATGGTTCGAAAAAGGGGTTGCCTCCCAAGTTGAGTCTTGCAATTTCACACTTTATCTCCAATTCTGCGATAGTTGAAAACAGGTCAGCAAGTAACCTTTTCGAAGTTATTGTGTAACTCATATTGATTTAAAATAAAATTTATTCCAACGGAAAAATTTAAGAGGGGTTTTGGGGTTTTGGGGTTTTGGGGTTTTGGGGTTTTGGGG